TCAGATTATTAGCTTTAAAAAGAGACCAAGCTTGTGAATTTACTCTAAAGGGTTCAAAAGCAGTACTTCATTTAATTTGTGTCTACATTTTAAGGCGTTTTATGGTATTTTATGCCCGAAGGTTAACATTAAACAAACAAGATAAAGAATCTCTCTCCAGGAGGAAGTTTGTACAAGGTTCTGAAACAGCACAGCTGTGTACGGTTGAATGCACCTGGAACCAAATGGAGAAGCATTCAGCTGAGGTTGAGCCGAGCTGAGCCGAAATGCATACAAGTGCGCTGGTGGTGATGGGGCTATAAGTCATCACTTCAAGGACAATGCTTGGAAAGTTTTTGATAGACGGTGGTATTAAGTAGTGGTGTGCCATCGGGGCCAGCGAAGGCACCTGGAGGGTGATACAAACAGCAGTGATACTGTTGCTTTGACCAATCAGGTGCTGAGGTGAAGACCTCAGAGCCTGCTAGCTGGCCTCAGACAGCTCAACATTTTCTCATCATTTGATTGGCTGATCAGAAAGCAGGAGTCAGAAATGGGAAACTAGATTTTTGTAGCATCTTATAAGCTAAATGCTGAGCGGACATTCTCAGAATTACAGAAAATAAAACTTATAACAAAAATACAGAGCAGAACAAACTGGACTTTCAGTGTTAGCTTCATGGTGGTGATAGAAAAGGACTTATTGTTGAAACGAAACACCCGAGGACCTGTGTGACAGAGGGGGCAGAGTTTTCTTAAGGAAAAAAAGGAGGATGGAGTTTTTAAACAGATAATAAAAAGTTTTGGTGAATAAAATATGTTATTTAAATGTTTTATTTAGTTATCAGCTTATTAACCAGGGTTGCACATAAAATGTTTGGTCTGGTTCTCAGGGGAGAACCTAGGGTTGTTGCTTGGTGCTCATATTTTCCTTCACTCAACACATTTATCTAGAGGGGCGTCAGGTCATCTAACGTCCCCCTGTTCTGTTTTATGACTCCTATCAGCTGCACCGTCTCAGGACATCATGTTAAATCAGTCCAACAGGTTTTTAATTTAATTTTTTTACTTTACATAAATTTTGTAAACTACCTAAGTGTCCGAGGGGCTGGGTGTATGTCATATAAACATCACAAATGGAACATTTCATGGTTAAATGTCTTTTAGACTAACATGTCCTTCAGATGGACAACTCCTGTAGTTTGGTCGTCTGGATCTTCAGCCTTGGTTACACCAGCTTTCCACTCTCCAGACCAACCAGCAAATATCTGTCTTTTGCACAGAGCAAAATAACTTAAAACACACAAATGTTTTATTTGTTAGACTGATTTATTTTTAAAAGACTATTTTATTCAAAAATATTATATTATTTAGATGGTGTCAGCTCATGTAATCATTTATTCTTCGTATTTGATCATTTAATAAATTACATTTATCCCAGAGCAGCTGCGTCACAGTATGGTCCTAAATATAAACAAGTTTACATCAAGAACCTTGTTTTTTGATACAGTTGTGAATGAAATTTGTGGATCTTTATGATAAATTAAAATAACAATTAAAATCATTCATCTAGAGAACATGGCAGGTTTTTATATTTTTTTAATATATTGTATACCAGTGGTGTCCAAAGTCTTGCATGTTTTAGGTGCTGCCCTGGTTCAACACAGCTGAACCTAAGGGGTGCTTAATTAGTGGGCCTCTGCAGACCTTGATGGCAAACTGAGAAGGTAAATCATCTATTTGAATCAGTTGTGTTGAAGCAGGGACAAATCTAAAACTTGCAGGAGGCCCTTGAGTTGGACATGCCTGCTGTATACTGTATAATTTATTTTTTGACTGGGGTGTTAAACAGAGAATCATCTTTGCTTTAATATGTGACAAACAAATGTTCTGTAAACAGTGAACCTCACAGACAGCCTGTATGCAGCGACGTGCTCCCATAAGTCTCTCATCAAGAGGAGAGTTTAGTCACTCACACAGATTTGGACAGATCCGTTGGATAACAACATTCTGAACATATATTTAATATAAAGTTAGGTTTTACATACCAAAGTATCTGGTAGTTCAGGAGCAAAGTGCAGGATGAGTCAGGACTGACCCCTGCAGCCTCAAAAATCTCTGTGGGTGCCTATCTGCTCCCAGAGCCGCTGCTTCAACCAAACTTGCTCTCACTGAAAGTCCCGCCCTGCTCTGCTCTGATTGGATAAAACGGCTCTAGACTTTGTCTGATTTGTTGAAGGCAGTGTCTTAGTTTTAACTTTATATCAGGGTCCCGCTGTCCTAAGAGGCTTGGTGAGCACCGAACAACGAACCATTGCGGCTGGATTTTTTTATTTATTAATTTTTTAAAGAAATCAGGTCGCATTTGCGACCAAACTGGTTGCACTCTAGAGCCCTGCAAACTGTTGTTTTGACAGACAACCAGGTTCAATCTCAGGTACGCAACTGAGCTTCATGACATTCCATCTGGTGCGCTTTTTATTATTTTGACCGCGCAGACGCACCTGCGCACCACCTATGTGCAACTCTGTATACAACCGTATTGATGCTGTTGTTAATGAATGGCACAGCTGTGACTGCAGCTGAGAAAACTTGTTAAATGTGTCGCTTCAGTGATGAATTTCATTCTGGCTTCATGAGACACCTGTCTGTGGTGCAGCAGAGACACCTGTCTGTGGTGCAGCAGAGACACCTGTCTGTGGTGCAGCAGAGACACCTGTCTGTGGTGCAGCAGAGACACCTGTCTGTGGTGCAGCAGAGACACCTGTCTGTGGTGCAGCAGAGACACCTGTCTGTGGTGCAGCAGGGACACATGTCTGTGGTGCAGCAGAGACACCTGATTGTGGTGCAGCAGGGACACATGTCTGTGGTGCAGCAGAGACACCTGATTGTGGTGCAGCAGGG